TTATTTATTATCAATGACATTTCTAGAACAGCCAAACAAAATGATACAAAATATATAAAGAATAAAGAAAATGGGGGGAAAGAAAAAAGCATACCTAACACTATTTTGGGAAAAAAAAAAAAAAAACTGGCACAGTGCTGCAGTACAGAGACAAAAAAAAAAAAAAAATCATTCTGAGTAGGAACAACTATGATGTCCCCAAACAATGCAGCCTAGAGAAAATATAAAGGAAAAGCCTGCAATTGTAACAAATGGAAAAACCTATATGCACCTTGCAGCCACCCTTCCAACCCACTCTTCCCCCTTCATGGTCCCTAGCATTTAAACCCACCTCTCCACCATCTCATCAAGTCTCTCAATCTCTGCTGTGGCACTCAGCACAAATTAAGTGGGAAGATACAATCTGTATCTTTCAATGTCTGGCTAACTTCAACATTAAGTCTTCTATATTCAACCATTCTGTTTATGTTTTGTTTTGTTTTTTCCTTCTTTTTAATTTATTTTGCATACATTTAATCACATATATCTTCACAGTGTACAACATTTCTTTTTCCTACACAAATACCATGCATATCCATCAAGACAAAGATATTACTATATATATTATCATCAGCAAATAGTTTTCTCATTTTTTGTCAATTAAACGTTCCTTCACTTTTTTCTTCCTCTTTCTCTCCCTCTCTTACATGCTAAACTTTTTCTTTTCACATTTTATTGTTCCACAAAAGATCTTAATTAAACTAAAAATATGGACAAAGCTAAAATCTAGTGACAAGTGCACTGTAATTTTCTTCTGATACATTTTCTTTTCAAACTCATTCCTCCTTTTACTAAAGAGAGATATAAACTGACTTATTTGAAAACAAAGTTTAGTCTTATATTAGTCTGTTATTTGCACAAAACCCCATAAAAATTCAATTTCTGTTGCAAGGCAACAGATACTATTGTATTATTGAACTTATGTAAATAACTTGACCATTCTGATCTTCCCATTTGAATCCTGGAAGTTAACATTCAACATTATTATTGAAATTTCCAGACTTGTCCCTACTATTAGGCTGGCCATTTTCTTGGCTGTTTTTGTACTCTTATTTCTGTGTGTCCAATTTTAGTTTTCCTGGAGTAGCACTCCCTTCAGCACTTCTTGGAGAGCTGACCTGGTATTGGTAAATTCTTTCAGGTTTTGTTTATCTGAGAATGTTTTTGTCTTTTCTTCCCATATGAAGGATAATCTTGCTGGGTATAGTATTCTCGGTTGAAATTGCTTTTCACTTAACACTTTGAATATATTTTCCCATTCTTTCCTTGCTTGCATTGCTTCAGATAAGAGGTCTGGTGTTAGCCCGTTGGGGTATCCTTTGAAAATAACTTGATGTTTCTCTCTTGCCATCTTTAGTATCTAGTCTCTGTGGTTTTGGTCAATCTGACTATGATGTCCCTTGGAGATCTTCTTGGGTTGATTCTATGTGTATTTGTGTGTGTGTTGGGGGGTGGGCCTTTGTATTTCTTGGGTCTGGATCTTTGAATGCCTTTCTAGGTTTAGAAAGTTTTCTTCCAGAATGTCATGGAATAGATTATCAATGCCCTTATTAGTTTCTTCGCCTCCTGGGATACCAATGATCTGGATGTTTGGGCATTTACAGGTGCCTAGTATTACTCATATATTATTCTCATTTGGGGAGGGTTATTTATTCTGCCTTTTTGGTGAATTTTTCTAGGACAGGGTTTCTTTCTTTTATTTCTGAGATTTGGTCTTCTGCAGTTTTGTTTCCCTGATGTCACCAGGCAAACTTTACTTTTGCCAATGGAACTTTATATTTTATAGCCACCCAGTTTCTAAAGAATAGTACACCAGGACTGGGCTGCAGGGTTTCAACAGAGAACTGAGAAGTGTGTGGGAAAAGATAAGCCATGTTCTCTCTGCAACTCTATATTCCCACTGCTGCTCACTTTGCAGTCTCTCTTCTCTGGTTTTTAGATTGTATATTCATGTTTGGCTAATTTGTTGAAGGTTGCTTCAACTGTAAACTCATATGCTTCACTCTATTGTGAGAGACTTCTATGCCAATTTCTCCCATACTACTGTTTTGCAACATGGTAGACACAGAAAGATATTTGAGTTCAGTTTTGTGAAGTTGAGTTTCTCCCTTTCTGTAGCAGTTCAATGACAGTTGAGGTTTTCTATTATCCTAAAGGTATTCAAATGTTTGGCTACTGTGCACCTAGACCTGTATAGACACTCAATGTACGGAAGCTGAGAAACAAACTCACTTGGGTATTGAGCTGGAAGGAGAGGTTTAAAGCAGAAGCTCTTCAGTTAAAGGAATAGGACCAGGCCCACCTCAGATGAAAATGGCTTCTTGTTTGGGTGCTGGGATGGAAGACTATTCATCCATTTAGAATCAAACAGTAGCATCTGATTGTTTCTTACAGCTGTGTAATATTCCATAGTATACATGCCACAGTTTTTCAACCCAGGCATCAGTTTGGGGACACTTAGAATGGTTCCATATTTTAGCAATTATAAATCATTCTGCAATAAATGTGGTTATGCAAATGTCTTTCTGATGAAGTATTTTCCTAATCTTTGGGTGAATAACAAGAAGTGGGATCACTGGGTCTTATGGAAGTTCTATTTTATAGGTTTTTGAGAAAGCTCCATATTGTTTTCCACAGAGGTTAAACTAATTTACATTCCTATCAACAAGGTAAGAGAGTTTCCTCTTCACTATAGCCTCACTAACACTTGTCATTGTTTATTTTTTTGGTCCTAGACATTCTAACTGAGGTTAAATGGCATCTCATTTTGGTTTTAATTTTCATTTCCTTTGTAACTAGAGTCTTTGAACACTTTTGTATATGACTCTTGGTCATTTGTAAGTCTTCCTTAGTGAGTTGTCCATTCAATTCATTTGCCCTTTTTATTTTCTATTGCTCAAATACTGCTAAGTGGTCTTTATTTCACCAATGTATTTTCATTAAAAGTATTTTATATGGGACCAGCAGTTAGCATAATGGCTATGTCACTGAACTCCCATGTATTCGACCACATTTCGAGTCCCGGAACCGGTGGCTTAAACTCATGCCAGGCGCGTGTGTGTGTGTGTGTGTGCTCAAGATCCTGAGAGGAGAATAGAGAAGGGATTGTAGCATGGCCATCCCCCCTGGGGGGGCGATTTCTCATTTTCTGTCTCTCTGTCTCTCTGTCTTTCTGGTAAATGCACATGCCCTATAGCAAAACCCTCTCAAAAAAAAAAAAAAGTATTTGACATGCTATTGTTATCATATAATGCTATTTAAATAGAAAACAATTGGTAAGTTCATGAACTATGCTAAGTCATTTCTTCCAGTCCAAGGCTGTTTCTGTTGGACAACATTCATTCCCAAGCCTGGTCCAGTAGATTCTCACTGCTCTCACAGTAACCAGAACCTGGACTTTCACAGCAGCCAGAAAATGGTGGTGAGCATTTGTGCAATTTTTAATTGGCCTATTCATTCTTTTATGGGGGAGTTGCTTGATGTCCCTATATATTCTTGATGACAAGCCCTTGTCTGAGGAATAACTTGAAAATATTTACTCCCTTTGCATAGATTATCTTTTCAGTCTAGGTCCCTTTGTTGTGAAGAGTTTTTTAACTTGATGTAATCCCACCTATTTATTTTAGGTACTATTTCTTGTGCTTTAGAGATCTTATTTAAGAAATCTTTGCCTACTCTAATAACTTCAAAAGTCTCTCCTAGTTTTCTACTAATAGTTTGTAGTTAGAGGCTTTATAATTATATCTTCAGTCCATTTTGAGTTAATTCTTGTTAATGATGAGAGATAGGGATCCAGTTTAATTTTTCTGTAAATGGATATCCAGTTCTTCAACACCATTTGCTAAAAAGACTTTCTTTTCTCCATTACATTGTTATATCCCTTTTAAAGGTCAATTGACTGTATGAGTTGGGGTGTATTTCTGTATTCTCTATTTTGTTCCATTGGTTTATATGTCTATTTTTGTGCCAGTTCCATGCTGTTTTAATTATCACTGCTTTGTAATATACATACACCAACAATGAACAAACTGAGACAGAATTGAAGAAAGCAATCTCATTTACAATAGCTATAAGACAAATACCTAGGAATAAATATACCCAAAATATGAAAGACCTCTACAAGAAAATTATGAAAAACTAAAAAAGAAAATGGATATGAAACTAGAAAATGAAAGGACATCCCATTGCTCGTAAATTGGAAGAATCAACACAAGCAAAATGTCAATCCTACCCAAATAAATACATGTTCAATGTGATTCTGATCCAATTACTTGAGACATTCTTCACAAAAATAGAAAAAAGCATTACAAAATTTGCTAAGAATCATAAAAGATCTTGTATTGCCAAGGCAATACTGTTCCAAAAAAAAAACAAAATAGGAAGCATTTAACTGACTTCAAAATTATGAAGTGTTTTAAATCATTTCAAAGTTTAATATATGTTATTTTAGGCATTATTTTGTTTTTTGATACTATGAGTAAATGTTTACCAGTTTAAAATATATAAAGGAGGAACCAGCAGGTAATGTGGTAGTTGAGGCCCTGGACTCCCACATGGCTGAGCACAGTTTGAGTCCCAGACCTGGTGACTTGCTTTCTCTTTCCTCTCTGTTCAAAGTAAAATAATAATAATAATGCTTATAAATAAAATAAAATAATTATTTTTAAAAATTATATATATAAAGGAAATTTAAAAATTGGTGAAGAAAAGTACGTGCCATGTGGTAGCTCAGGTTCTTGTCATTTCTCCGCATATACTACCTAAAGTATCTCAGTTCTCAAAAACACAACATTTTGGGGTTAAATCTGCCTAAGTACTAATCACAGAAATAAGTTTTTGAACTGTATTCATTGTCAGTAGTACTGCCTCACATGGATCACTTGTTGGTAGTAGTTAAACACACTGACACCAGCAACTCAGGAATTCTTGTGAACTACAAAATGCCACTTATGTATTCTTACCCATGTCTTTCTTATAAGGAAAATAAAACCTGCTCAAATGTTATCTCGCTGAAGTAAATGTGTCACCCTCTTTATCACCCTCTTGAGGGCCTCTTTGATCTCCTTGTTCCTCAGACTATAGATCAGAGGGTTTAACATGGGAATAAATACTACATAGAACACTGACAGCACTTTGTTCTGCTTCATGGAGTGGCTAGTGCTGGGATTCATGTACACAGAGAGGGCTGTGCCATAATAGAGTGTCACAGCTGCCAGGTGGGAGGCACAGGTGTTGAAAGCCTTGGCACTATGCTTGAGTAAAGATATTTTCAGGATGGAAGACACAATGAAACCATAGGATAAGAGAATAAAAAGCAAAGAACCAAATCCAACTATGGTAGATACCAGGAAAAGAACCATTTGGCTAATGAAAGGATTAGAGCAAGATAAGGCAATAACCTGAGGTAAGTCACAGAGAAAATGATGAATGACATTTGGTCCACAGTAGTCGAGATGAAAGCAAGAAGCCGTTTGAATTAAGCTACTAAGGAAACCACTCCCATAGGCTGCAGCCACCATCTTCCAACAAAGGTCAGGAGCCATGATTGCTGAGTACTGCAGAGGGCTACCAATGGCGATGTATCTGTCATATGCCATGGCGGCCAAGAGGCAGCACTCAGCCAGAGCCATCCAAGCCCCAACAAAATGCTGAGTGGCACAGGCAATGAAGGAAATTGTATTTTCATCTTTTAAGAAGTCTGAAAGCATCCTTGGGCTGACAGAAGAAGAATAGCAAATGTCTATAAATGACAGGAAACTGAGAAAAAAGTACATGGGTGTGTGCAGGTGGGAATCAATCCTGATGAGAATGATAAGACCCAGATTCCAAACCAGGGTCATAAGATAGAGTGTCAGGAAGACTGGAAAGAGGAGGAGCTGCAGTTCTTTGTCATCTGACAGGCCTAGGAGTACAAACACAGATATAGACGTATGGTTTCCATTCCTTTCTGTAGATCTGCTTTGTGCCATCTGTTGAAAAAAAGTTGAGAACAAGAAATTATTTTATTCCACCCCTTCCACCAAAAAAGAAACACTCTTCATTTTTTATTAGTCATACAGTTGGCTGAATATACAACCATGATTCATAAATGTTGAATAAAGATGTGCCTCTGTGTACAATGTCTAAACTTAACTTAAAAAGTTCTCTTAGGTAAATATTGTTATTCTGTCTCGAGATAAATGACAACAAATGGGCATCATTAGTATGCTATCATCTAAAGTGTATTAATCTCATGCTTTCTCATTCTAGATTTTGCAAGTATATGTACTGGAAATAGACCAGGCACCAAGTGGCGTAGTGGTTAAGGTGCTAGACTCCCACATGACCAACTCCATGGTTTGAGTCTTGGACCCAAATGTTTGAAAATCATGCCAGGAACATGTGCATGCCTGCCCAAAATCCCTAGAGAAGAGAGGAGAAGGAATTGTAGCATGGCCATCACCCTGAAGGATGATTTCTCACTTTATCTTTTTTTGAATCTGTCTCTCTCCTATCTGACAAGCATATGAGTCCTAGAACAAAAAAGGAAAGAGAAAGGAAGGAAAGAAAGGAAGAAAGAAAATGAAAGAGTAAAGAAAGAGAAGAAAGAAAGATAAGGGAAGAAGGAAGAAAAAAAAGTTTCTTCCTTTCTTTTAGAAAAGAAAGAAAATAGCTCAAATTAGGAAAACACTGTTATCACTCTATATGGGGGAAATATGACTGTTCTGCTGAGGAATGGTTCTACTGTTTATTCAGTACTTGCAGAAGACCCTGGATGATAATACTGCACCTCACATGTAAAATGAAGATGTTGGAGTAGGTGCTCTTTAAAATCTCCTTGTGTATCAGCCAGTGTCATCGTGGTTAAAGTGGCAGGATCTCACATGACCAAGTGTAGTGTGTAGTTCAAGTCTTGGACCTGATAGCTTGAGAAACCTGTCAGGGACATGTGTTTGCATGCCCAATATCCTGAAAAGGAGGAAGAAATGGAATTGAAGGAAATGTGGCATGACCATTCCCTATGTGAAGTGCTTTCTCCCTCTCTCTTTCTCTCTCTATAGTGAATGCATTTGTCCTCTGGCAAATGAAAGAAAGAAAGAAAGAAAGAAAGAAAGAAAGAAAGAAAGAAAGAAAGAAAGAAAGAAAGGAAGGAAGGAAGGAAGGAAGAAGGAAGGAAGGAAGGAAGGAAGGAAGGAAGGAAGAGAGGAAAGAAAGAAAGAAAGAAAGAAAGAAAGAAAGAAAGAAAGAGAAAGAGAAAGAGAAAGAATACTCCCTTTAAACTAACATTCAATTAATCTGTAATCAGGGAGTATTAAAAAGTCTCTAACTGCCTTTCTGCTTTCATAAAGCTTGGAGACTATAAGAATAATGAAGTGGGATGATGGGAAAAGTTACACACCAACAATCAGCTTGGAAATAGATCTGACTTAACCAACTAAATGTCTCCAAGAAGGCTCCTAAGAATTTAGAAAAGACAAGATTGAAAACAGGAGTTCCAGGAAAACGGCAGTGAGTGTGCATGTGTGTGTATAAGTGAGTGTGTGCTAGAGCAAACGTGGTACATGTACGGGTGTGTGTGTGATGATCTGTCTGTTCAGGATCTCAGGGGGGAGGTTCCAATGTTGCTGCCGTTGTTGCTACCAGCCCCAGAGCTTCTCATTGTGCAGGTTAAGGATGAATGCCATTTTGAGAGGTTTTAAAAATCCACCTCAGAAAGAAGCTGCCAGCAGTGGCTGATGCTAGGCATTTGACTTCGTTGCCACTTCCTACCATACTAGGCCAAACTGCACTGCCCCACTGCAGGATCCCATAATCTGGAAATTTAGATGTTTTCTGGGGAGTCCCCTGGTGCTACTGGAACTGCAAGCCAACGAGTCTGAGTAGACTGTGTCACAGTCACATCACTGGGGCCCAGGGTATAGGAACTGAGAACTTCACCAGGGAAGCAGCTATTATTTCCAACTGAGCATTGCTAGAACCATGGACCTGATATAGCTTAAACAGATTACAGCATGACCAGGAACTGAGAGCACCTCCAGGCTGGAAAGAGAGGTAGTAGGGGTGTCACTGGTTGCAGGGGCCAGCAGGATCATGAAACCAGAGTCCCAGGCTGAGACTCACTAGAGGGAGCAGAATGAGCATGCTGCTTTCATCTCTTTTGAAGAGGAGGATAAGATGGTAAGCTAGGAATTTCCACCCCAGGGCCAGCAAGTGGCATAGTAGTTAAGGCACTGGACTCCCACATGACCTACCACAGTTCAAATCCCAGACCCAGTAGCCTGAAAATAACATGTGCATACATGCCCAAAATCCCAAGGGAAGAAAGGATTACAGAGGGGCCATTCTCTCTGGAAAGTGATTTCTCACTTTTCATTGTTTCTCTGTGTCTCTCTTTCTCCAGTAAGCACATGCACTCTATGACAAAAACCTAAAAAGAAAACAAACCAAAAAAGAAATACCCACCTTAGCATCTCTCTGTAAAGAAAGGCTAACAAATACCTCAGAAGTAAGGTGAGACTTGACGGGGCCATGCAGGCAACACAAGCTGGTGAAGATGCTGCCTCCCATTCTAAGGCAGGGCCTGGACTGGGAAGAAACTGAGGCAGGGCCCAGTTTATGAGCCCTCCCTTGTGTCCTTGAACTGGCCAGTATTCAATTTCTCTGCCGTGAGTTTTACTGTTATTACGGTACCCTGTAAGGGTAAAACATCACCCCCAACCATTGCAATAAAGCCAATTAGTGATCTTGTGGGAATGTGGTTCCCTAAGACTGACTCGAGGACCAGAAAGTTTAAGACTCCCCCACCTGTCTGTTTTTAAGCCAAAATTAACATAGATTAAGCTAGCATAAACCGAATTAGCATTAGAAGCATATGTAGACTAAGTTAGTTTAAGGTTAGTTTTATGTAGATACCCCTTGTTAAAGCTACAGGCCGAAATTAACTCACAGCTTGGAAAGTCAGCACATTCACCACATAACAGAGACTCAGAGATAAAACAAAAGAACTCACTAATTGGCAGACTCGACAAACAAAAGGCAGGAACCCACAGATTTATTAAATGAAAAAACCTGGCTGGGACAACAGAATAAACAAAGCTGAGGGCTCCACAGAAAGATTAACCATTTTAGCTGGGAGTTCTTATCTAAAGCAACAGGTAGCTTTCAACTACAAAGAGTTTCTCATCTATGTGCTGTTGACTATGAAAAA